AAAGCCACTGTTTGTAGGGAGGGTCCTTTTATTTTTTTTTATTTTTTATTTTTTCCACCTGGGAAAAGAAAGCAAGAAACCTTTCTGATCATAATTCCTATGACCAAAGAATGTATTCGATATTGTGTTTTCTTATTTTTTTCTCTTTTTTTTTCTTTTGGTTAAAGTAACGTTTCATATAAAAGGAAACTTTTCTTGTCATTACTTACCTGTTATGTCAAACTGTTCGTCGAGAATGTGGATCGTTCCGTGTGGTCAACCTAAGAAGGAAAAGACGAACATGCTGTCTATTCTTTTTTTGTATCGTCTTTGGCTGAGGAGGAAGTGACGTAAGTCGTTAATGATTGGTCAGCACCTCATTTATTTAATGAGTCCATTTGTTGCGTGCTTGGCGTATTTGTTTTCTGCTTCAGGATCGCCTGCTGGAATAGTACTGTTTCGGTAGGGTCTCTTGGGCGAACAAGTATGATGTTGCAAGACCCGAAACTTGTCATGACCCCAAGTCATAACATCCCTGACGAGGCGATCCTGAGCACACGTTGGAGTGTTTTCATGACAGGATATATATATCAAACACTAATATTCCATGGTTATATTTTATCGTAATCACGATCCAAGTCATCAGACCTATAAATTCAAAGTTTTTTTTTTATTTTTGAATTTGTAAGTCTGATGATTTGGATCGGTATTACGATTCCAATGTAATAAATTGTAAACATGTATTTTTTTTTGTTTTTTGTTTTTTTAGAAGGTAGAATAAAAAAAAACAACAAAAAAAAAACACAATAATAAGATCTTGAACAAACCCCCATGCCTGAATAGTATTAATAAAAAATCCTACACTTAAATCAGACAATAAAAGGGAAAAATTATGTAATTGTAGAAACCTAGTAGACTGCCCATTAGAAAATAAATGCTGCATCAAATCTGTGGTATACCAATGTACTATATCATCCACTGAGAGTCCTAGCACTAATATGATATACATTGGGTCCACGAAGAATGATTTTAAAGATAGATGGATGCAGCATAAGTGCTCTTTCAACAATATAAATAAAAGAAATCAGGCTTCCCTATCTAAATATTTTTGGCATCTGAAGGAAATAAATAGGACACCTAAAGTAAAATGGAAAATTATAAACAAGGCTAGAACATGTAAAACTTTGAATGACCCATGCCCTTTGTGCCTACATGAGAAACTGCACATTATTAAGTTTCTAAATAATAATAATCTATTAAATAATAGACATGAGTTAACGGTTTTTTGTCGACATCATCAAATTCATGGTTTGAATAATTAGCTAAAAACAAGCATACAATATAATAACTTTTATAATCCATAGCCCAAATAAATAGTTTAAATACCCTACAAAAAAGATAACCCTTTATGAAGTCGTTAAAAAACAAATGTTACGGCAGTTTTTTTTTTTTATGCACAAATCCCTTTCATAAAGAGATAAAATAAAAAAATAAATAAATCTGCATAGACACGTAAACGAAACTAGGCTAAAACATCTTCCGTTTCAAATTTAGACACCCCCACCTTACCCTGACTTGACATCTATGAAAGTAACTCTATACTGATACTTATTATTAACACCCAACACACGCCTACCCAATTTAAACAATTCGCCCTAGCTGTTACCATGGAAATTTTAATTTCAATTATTAAAACACGTAAATTTCAGAAATACGTTATTCCAAAAAAAAAAAATTTCGCTTGAAGATGTAACAGAGCTTACTTTAACTCAATTTAATTCAAAGAATTATATTGAAGTTTTTGGCTATTGTTTTGAAACATGAGACCTCTTATGTCGCGAGTTGGAATCATATTTTTAAATAAATAATTATATTTATGCTCTACTTTCGTATTGATCTCTGTTCCTGAAGATGGAACAGAGCTTAGTACTTTAATTCAATTTAATTCAAATAATTATATTGAAGTTTTCGGCTCTTGTTTTGAAACATGAAAACTCTTATGTAGCGTGTTGGAATCATATTTTTAAATGCCGTAGTAAAGCCAATGTAAGTATTGACATTTTTATCAGAGATGTAATCTCCTAAATTCCTTAAATGCTTATAAAAAAGAAAATAAAAATGTTTGATCCAAAATGGGAAAATTACTTCCCTTATAATGGTAACGGATAAGAAACGGAGAAAAAAAACAAAAAAAAAAAAACACGTGATTTTTTAAACACCTTGTATATTATTGTACTCTTCCAATTTTCGGATAAGGTTTTGAGTATTGTTTTGGAGTTTTGGATAAATTGCCCGATCTACACGCATACACACACACACACACAAAAATGCACACACACACACACACACACACATACATATATATATATATATATATATATATATATATATATATATATATATATATATGTGTATGTATATATATATTGCGTATATTTTAGCAGCATGTTTTCATTGAGACATGTTTCTGTCTACTTATCTTCAGTTGTATCCTTTCATATTCACGGATTTTTGACATCATCATTACAGGAAGGGAGAAAAGTACCGTGTTGATACATATTATTTTATTCCGAGTACTTTCGACGTAGCACAATGTCATCATCAGGGTGTTCTTTTATTTCGAGACGATTTTTGCAAGAAATATTCAATTTCGTTTAATAAAATAACTACAATAAAATAAATAACAAGGAAGGAATATTTCTCATTTTTAGGGTTACGTTGATTTTATCTCATTTTTGTATGCGTCCAGAGCCGATTTGTGTCTCTTTAAAAAAATAAAAAAAACAATTTCTCACTGAAATAATATGACTATTAAGGAAAAAAAAAGGAGAATATTTTAGATTCCGTTTAGTTTTTGAAAATCTTTGCGGCAAACTTAGAATTGCTTTCTGAAAATCAATTTTTCAGCGAAGATTTTAAAAATTAAGGACAACTACGGAAATGAGAGTTTTCATTTGCCAACGAATTGACGATTGGGTTTTATCCTCACAGAATAATGAATAAAATAAAGAAGAGAAGTTCAGAAAATGAATAAGATCTAAGAGGGAATATAGAACTAGGAATATTTTCAGCATTCAATCAAGTGTCAATAACACAAGGTGGTGCGTTGGTGATGATGGAGGCAGGAAGAAGTTTTTTAATTCTTTTAAAAGTCACGTTTGTGAACCACGGAAGTACCAGCCAAGACTGTGAGTAAATAGGTTTTCATAGAATGAATTTCCTGTTTCTCCGACTGACTTTCGACTTTTATGCACACGCACACACACACACACAGTTACATACATACATAAAATTTGATATATATATATATATATATATATATATATATATATATATATATATATATATATATTACCGTTTTTGCAATATGACACCGGCTGAAAAATATAAAATTCAAATTTCATTTTTTTTGTCTTCAAATTTTTTAATTCTTCACAATATGCAAACAAATAAATAAATAAAATTCAATTTGTATATTTCTTTTGTCTTCAATTCATAATTTAAGTTTTAAATCTTTTGTCGGGAAGCAATTATTCTATGCTTGAGATCATTTGGCTGCTTTCATTGTTTTTTTCATTGTATGTTTTTATATTTTATCGAAGTTGGTGGAAGTTTAAATTGAATCATTTTGTAAATTCAGTTAACATGATATTGAATACGCACACACACACGAGTACATAATATGAAAACAAAAAAAAAGTAAACATATAAAATAAATATATATATATATATATATATATATATATATATATATAGAGAGAGAGAGAGAGAGAGAGAGATACATATGAATAATAATACGAATGAATCTATTAGGATACTGATACCATATAAATATATATATATATACATATATATATATATTACATAGAACAGAAATCCAAATTTAACTCATTCGAATAGCCATTTCAACCAACAAGTCCGATGTTGGTATTGTCAACTCAGAAGTGTGTATATATATATATGTATGTGTGTGTGTGTGTGTGTGTGTGTGTGTGTGTGTGTGTATACAGGCCAAAATTAAGTAATAATCAAAACAATCCCCCACACATATACACAAAAAGAAAAGGCAAAGTCTATATACACACATTCTTATGTGTGTGTGTGTGTTTAGATAGATTGATAGATAGATATACATATATCTTCGTAAGCGTATTTACACAAGAATATATAGTGTTATATAAGTATGCATATTTCATATACATATATATATATATTTATATATATATATATGTGTGTGTGTGTGTGTGTGTGTGTGTGTGTGTGTGCGTGTGTGTGTGTGTTCAGGTATGTAGAAAAATAGGAAAGAACACGTTAGGTAAATAATCCGGAGTTCTTTAGTATTTTTGGTTTTATTTTTAAAAAACAGTGCTCGATACAGAAGTAGAGCTTAAATTATATATAAATATATATATATATATATATATATATATATATATATATATATATATATATATTTTTTTTCTTTTTTTTTATTATTTTATTATTATTATTATTATTCAAATACTGTGTTGTGTATGTTACCGTCGGTCTCTCTATCGAGAAGTGTGTAAGTGACTGGCGTGTTTGTAGTAATTCACCGCTTTAAGTCCGAACCGAAAGAGACACGAGGAATAAGCAGGAATGGAACAATGATCGCGTAAGAGTAAAAGATTCTGAGATAGATCGATCGCTCGATCGATCAATACACACACTCACATAGATAGATAGATAGATAGATAGATAGGTGAAAAATCTAAAGGGTATTTCTTAGGAAGCGGCTATAGAACTAATGTTATTGATCTTATCAGCATAAGTTTAGATAATCACAGTGATTATACGTATATGTATGTGTCTGTATGAACTCAACCTTTGATTCGTGCACGTAAACAGTGCACTTTTTATGACTACTGGCTGCCACTGTTCGAGCCCTGCAGACAAGAAACATGTCCTGACCATGCACACACTCTAACAACTGCAAATTCGGCCGTGCGCTCTGGCAAAACCTTTCTTGCTTATCGTACCCGACACCACGAGAATAAATGATGCGTTCGCCACCTTCTCATCCTTCATGTCAAATGTCCCCGCCCGTACTACGTGTTCTGCTTTCTTATCGTCGTCACCCAGGCTTACTCAACACACACACACACACACACTATTTGCATCTATCTATCTCTGTTCATATCTATCTCAGCCTCTTTATGTTCTCTCTCTCTCGGCCTTTTCACTATCTTTCTATCTATCTATCCTCGTCTGTTCGTATCTATCTATCTATCTATCTAATTATTGTGGTAAGAATAATTATATATTTATTTCAGTTATTTACCAAGTATACATTCGTTTCGATCTAAGGCCACTACTATGTGACACTTAGTGAGGATCAAGATCACGAATGGTCAGTAACACTCTGCGAGACTGACTTACTAATCGTTAAAACATGACGGATTCCCTTGTGCGAGCGCGCGCACACACACACACATCTATTACAAGGTTTTCTATCCTGTACAAGGCTCAAGAGGCACTTGAGATAGAGGCCTACAGAATAAGAGGCACAGTTTAAATGAATATCTGGATAAGTTAACTAACATTTTCCTCTCGACTTGAACAGGTTTATATTGGAGTGATCGGGAAAGCATCCTTTTGCGAGTGAGTCCCACAAAGCAGCATTTCTCAAGATATATATATATATATATATATATATATATATATATATATATATATATATATATAAATGAACATTGAAGTCAACAGTGAGAGGCGACTGGTTGTTTCATGCTAGACGCAATCGTCGGCACGCCTGATGATTGCATCTAGCATAAAACAAGTTGACTTCAATGTTCAATTTTATATTTACATACGCCCTATCTCTGATATTGAGCACTTTATTCCATAAATATAGCACACCTTAAAACTATATTTCTTCACACACACACACACACACACACATATATATATATATATATATATATATATATATATATATATATATATATAGGTAACTATACTGTTTTCGAAAAACCTTCGAATTTTGATTTGCTAATAATCAAATCAATCTCGAAGGAAAAAAGGTTTTAAAAAAGAAAGAGCTACAAACATGAAAGTCTGTCGAAAAAATCGCACAGATACAGGTTTAAACCCCAAAGAAAAAAAAACCCCGACACGAGTAAACAACTAACTAAAAAGAGCTCAATACAACCGTAGAGCAGACCTAGATAAACCTCGTGAGTTAGACATTTTACCAGGTTTAAACCTAAGCGGATTCCCTGACCATCCGCTTAGGTGAAACCTGTAGGTTTGTCTGGCTCACTAGGTTTTATATATATATATATATATATATAGTCATCTACAGAGATACTGTTTCGCTGTATCACAGCTCATCAGTGTGGCTAGACGTCCGGTTTCCTCTAGCTAGGTTCGAAACCCGACTGAATTGGCGGCAGTAGGGGATTCTACCACTAAGCCGTTGGCCCACTGCAGAGATGAAGGTGAATTTAAGCATATTTATTTTCAGATAAACACTCAGGGACTGAGGGAACTCGATTCGATTTACCGAAGATTCTTACTTTGTTAGCCGTAATAGTCAATGTTTACAAAACCCACACCTCATCCCCTGAGAGCTCAACCGAAATAAATTTTTCAGAAGCATATATATATATATATATATATATATATATATATAATTGGATTTATTCTGAATACGACATTTCTATTTATTATTTATTTTATTTTATTTTTTGTGGATAACGGTGTTAGAAATAGGCGTTCCGTTTTTATTTTTAAAAAGTGTCTGTCACTCGAGAAACCTGAATTAAAAAAATGTTGTTTCAGGCAGGGTCCGAACCCGCGCTGCCCTGTGTAGTAAAAGATCATGGATATACTAAAAGTCACATGTGTAGTAATAATAATAATGATAATAATAACGATATATATATATATATATATATATATATATATATAATATTTTGCTTTACCACTATGCGCAAACAGTGGCAGAAAGAAAGTAAGACAGACGAGGAGGAAGGAAGTGAGGGCAGTAGACATGTTTGTATCTGTCGAGAGAGGTTTACTTATGCATACGAAAGTCTGTATACGTCTATGTGTGCGATTTTAGGCTAGTATGTTGCTCCTGTATAGGTTTAATGTGTGGGGTTAGTATCTCACCGTACACAAAGAGTGAAAGAGAATATGTGTATTAATGCGTCTGTATTATCGATATTGAGAAAGAGATAAGGAACAATATGTGAGATAAGGTAGTCTGGTACAAGGCTAAAGGCTCTCGGTGCAATATGTGTTGTGAAGTTGCGCGATCCTGATTGACTTGAAAATCAACATTTTCAAGCACTAACAACTCATTTTATGGAGGTGGCGAAGGAAAAGGTAACAGATCCAGATAAATATAAAAAATATATAATACACACACAGAAAGGCAAAAGTGTGCGCACACACACACATACACACACACACATACACACACACACACATACACGCACACACAGATACACGCACACATATATGTCTGCGTGTTTGTGTAAAATTTCAGAGATAACTAAAAAGAATAATAATACGAATATGAATTTCCTTTTTCCTTTATTTATTTATCAATATATATATATATATATATATATATATATATATATATATATATATATATATATATATACATATATATATATACATACATACATACACATACATAAATATATATATATATATATATATATATATAAACATCCAGATATATGTGTGCGTGTGTGTATGTGTGTGTGTTTGTGTGTTTTGAACAATAAAAAATATTGAGAAATTAAAAAATTAAAATTTTCAGGCACACTGTGTTGTATGACGGTGACGTAAATTGTCTAAAAATGATTTTCGTTTAATAAAATATAAAAAAATAACAAATACTTTTGTCAGCTATATATATATATATATATATATATATATATATATATATATATATATATATATTCGCGTAATAGAAAAGATTGAAAAAAGATAGAAAAAACAATAAATATACTTAAAAGAAATAACTTTTTCATCGAACATGCATTAGAGATGGGATGGTGCAAAATAAATACACACCAAAAGTATCTTTTATTTTATTTCCACGTCTGCTTAAGATAAATTTGTGCAGGTTAATCTGGTAAAAGGTCATGAATATGGAGTACTAGGTATGTAAATCGAAGTCACCAGTTTACGATGCCCATTCGCTCACCATAACTCATCGATAGGGTGTGAAACATCTGTGTATATATATATATGTTATGTTGAATGATAAGGTTTATTGTGGAGATCAGTTGGATATGGAAATAAACACACACACACACACACACACACATATATATATATATATATATATATATATATATATATATATATATATATATATATATATATTCTTAAGTATATGTAGATATCAGATAATCCGGTTTTGTTTACGTATAAGGCGACTGCATGCAAACGTGCGCGTCTTTCTTCCCTTCTTTCTTTCTTTCTTTATTCCTTTCGTGCTTTCTTTCTTTCTTTTTATTCCTTCCGTGCTTTCCTTCTTTCTTTATTCATTTCGTGCTTTCTTTCTTTCTTTATTTATTTATTTCTTTTTATTCCTTTCGTGCTTTCCTTCTTTCTTTCTTTCTTTTTCTTTCTTTTTATTCCTTTCGTGCTTTCCTTCTTTCTTTCTTTCTTTTTCTTTCTTTTTATTCCTTTCGTGCTTTCCTTCTTTCTTTCTTTCTTTATTCCTTTCGTGCTTTCTTTCTTTTTTTATTTCCCGCTTTCTTTCTTTCTGTCTTTCTTTTTTCTTCTTCTTTTCGTGCTGTCTCTCTTTTTTCTTTCGTTCTTTCTTTTCTTCCTTCTTTATTTCGTATTTTCTTTCTACCTTCCTTTCTTTCTTTCCTCTTTTTGTGCTGTCTTTGTACCTTTTGTGCTGTCTTTGTACCTTTTGTGCTTTCTTTCCTTCTTTATTTGGTATTTTCTTTCTTTCTTTCTTCCTTCTTTTCGTACTTTCTTTCTTTCTTTCTTTCTTTCTTTCTTCCTTCCTTCATTTCTTTTGTTCTTTCGCGTTGTCTTTCTTCCTTTCGTGTTTTCTTTTTATCTTTCTTTCAACCCTACTCTCGCAATGCTACTTCCGTGTTAACTACCCTACTCTAACCGTCACTTCCTCCTCCTACCTTAAACACCTTTCCACCACCCATACTTAATCCGTCTTTTCTTCTCTCTCTCTCTCTCTCTCTCTCTCTCTCTCTCTCTCTCTCTCTTAAAGCCACCAAACCGTCTGCAAATTCTCCCGTCACGCACTGCTTTATGAAGCGGGGCCGTTCGGTCTGACGCTGCTTTCTTCCTCCTTTCCAATAGTTTGTCTTGCTTTCTTCTTCGTTCTTGGCCAAAAATGTTCGTCCCTATTACTGCCAATGTAATTGTTACGATCAACGTCATCAAGTAACTTAGTTATCTCGAAGACTTCCTAATTATCACTGGCACTAAACTAACCAATCCTTGGTACAGGAGACACCCCCCCACCAAGTCCGTCGATTTATTCACCTACCGTTAATTTATACAAGACTGACTGTCTTCAATATAGGGCATTTTAATTTTAGCTACTTTTTCTGCTTCGACGGTGTTGTATATTTGATAAATATAAGGCAAGCTATTATCTTGCTATCTAGATTGCTGGGGGTGCTAAAAATTAATCTGACGTTTAATCATTTAGACAGATTTCAAGGAGATTTGAAGTTTTCAGCACCCCCTTTATATATTCTATGCCATGAGTACGGAGAAAAAATATTTACCCCTAAAAATAGAGACTATTTTTGTTATATGAAGAGTTACCGACGTGGTACAAGCTTGACTTGAAACCTTGTGGTCAGTAGCCCTGCGCTGTAACACTTGAATTTAAAAGGCGTGTTGACAACGACTACAGTTACTGAAGTTTTTATTTGTTATATGGCAGATTTTACAAGTACACGAGTAAATTGTAAACGTAGTAGTTAGCATGTATAAAATTAGAGAAGTGAACCAGTTAAAATTTATTCGACAGTGAGACGCATATTCAAAACAGAAGCAACTCGCCGATATCATAACCACTAGGTTTGTATAGTTTTAAGATTGGATTTTTTTCTCTTGTTTTGTGACGAAATAACTGATGATACTACCACTACTACTACTACGAATAATAATAATAATAATAATAATAATTATTATTATTATTATTATTACGGTATAATCATTTATTTTTTTAGTTGTAATAATAATAATGATAATAATAATAGTAATAATAATAATAAGAAGAAAATAATAAGAAGAAGAACGAGAAGAAAAAAAGCAATAAACTAGTTAAATGAGTTCATGAAATTGAAAAGGAAGGAAGGGGGGAGGGAGGAAGGAAGGAAGGAAGGAAGGAAGGAAGGAAGGAAGGAAGGAAGGAAGGAAGGAAGGAAGGAAGGAAGGAAGACAACGACGACGACGAAATGAAAATTTTATATTTCTTTCACCTTATTATATGATAAAAAAATAGAAAACTGAAATTAAATTTGAAATCGCGAGAATCTAAAATGACGGGAAAGAAAGAAAGAAAGAAAGAAAGAAAGAAAGAAAGAAAGAAAGAAAGAAAGAAAGAAAGATTGCAAATTACGGAACAACGCAAAGGAGAGTGAAAAGGAAGAGATAGACTGTTGCAGTGAGAGAAGGACAGACAGAAAATGATGGCAAGTGTTTGAGGCACGATGAAAAAAAAATACGTGAACGAGTTTCTGTTTTACGAAAAGGGGGAAATACTGAAAGGCAAGAACAGGGAATAAAAAGAAAGAAAAAATAAACGAAAGTGAGAATATCGAAAGATGAAGAGATAGAAAAAAAGAAAGAAGGAAGATACGAGGAGAAAGAAAGAGAGAAAAAGCGAGGGAATGAATGCTGATAGAAAAGAATCAAATGAATATAACGGAGATAGGGAGAGAGAGAGAGAGAGACAGACAGACAGACAGAATATATGTGAGAGATAAATATGATTTGCAGTGTTAAAAAGAAGCAGAAAAAAGACGATAAAAACAAATAAAGCAACAAAAGTAAAAGAAAAAAAGGCGCATGAAAAAGGAAGGAAGGAAGGAAGGAAGGAAGGAAGGAAAGACTATTAGAGACGGAAGGTGGAGAAATAAAAAAAAAAGTCGCATGAAAAATGCAAAAGAAAGAAAGAAAGAAAGAAAGAAAGAAAGAAAGAAAGAAAGAAAGAAAGAAAGAAAGAAAGACTATTAGGGACGGAAGATGGGGAAGTAAAAAAAACGGCGCATGAAAAATGAAAAATATAAAAGAAAGAAAGAATGAAAGGAAAGAAGGAAGGCAGGAAAAAATACGTAGGCGGGATGGGAGATGATAAAGAAGAAGAAAGAAAAACAGAAAAGAAAGAAAGAAAGAAAGAGAGAAACAAACATGAAATCGTATCAAAGCCTTAAGAAAGAAATATCGAAAGAAAAAGGATAAATTGCAAAACAATAAGAAAAATTAATAAAAATGAACCCCCAACCCCCCCAAAAAAGGTAAAATTCTGGCAAAAACCAAAAGGAAAGGAAAAGATAAAAAAAAATAAAACAAGAAATTAGAGACATCAAAAAAAAAAAAAAAAAAACGAAAGCGATTAACTAAAAAAAAAAAAAATGAAAGGATAGGCGGCTATAGGTTGGTGTAGCTGTAAGGGTGATGGCAGAGGCGGTGAACAGCGACGGTCCTGCGGTGGCGGGGTGATCGCGCGTCCCCTCGGGTGCTAAAACTGGGCGAGAGAACGAGAGAGAAAGAGAGCGTGATAGAGTGATAGAGGGAGGGAAGTTACACGGAATAGACAGGGTGAGAAAAGAAAGAGAGCAAGCGAAACAGCTATATCATGTCGATTCCACACTGATAAAAAGGTCAGCGTCGTGATCAGAATTGGAGAACAGCCGCCGGCGACAGTTTATCGGCCTTACTCTCCATCCCACTTGCTCTCCAACCCCATTCCCTCAATAAGCCTCCCCGACCCGTCAACCACCACCTCCACTACATACACACCGCCTACCCCATCGCCAACAAGCACCGTCTCCCCTTTCTCTCTGCGATTCCTTATCCCACTCTTTTTGCTCTCTTCTCTCGCTTCCCTCGCCAGTCAGCGAACAGCAAAGGCCGACATTGTCGACGCTGTCACCGCCGGGTGAGATATCATGGCGACATTAGCTGTAAAGAGGGTGTAAAGCGCCACCAAACGGCGGCAATTTAACATTATTATTATTAGTAGTAGTAGTATTAGAGCAGGAGTAGTAGTAGTAATAACCCTAGTAGTACAAGTAGTTATTTTATCAGTAAACAAAACTATTCCTAATAATAAATAACAATAAAAAGTATAATAAAAGAATTATTATTATTATTATTTCTACTACAATGCAGATAGTAATAGTAACAGTACTATCATTTTTATTCGTAGTAGTAGTAGTAATAGAGCCACGGTGAAGTAATGGATAGGGGCTCGGATTGAGGAATCGGAGAGCTGAGTTCGAATTCCAGTCAAATCCATTACATTCACTTACGTGCTAATACTCTTGGGAAAGGTATGACCCCTCTTCCCCCCCCCAAGCTATGGGTAAATAGCAGGATAGACCGGATTCTATAGCCTTGGATGGCAACTGGTCTACGGCAGAAAGAAATGGCAACCTACCACGGAAAAAAAATCTGCCTCGTCAGTCATGTATCTAAAGGTACATCATTGCCTAAGCATGTATCACGTATGGCATATAAGTGACTGAATAATAGTAATAGTCATAACTATTTTAACAGAATAACGTTATAATTAACGTTATAATCATTTAATTGCAATATCATCTTATTAATACTACTCATAGGAGTATTTGTAATCTATTTTTATTATTAATAGTAGTATAGCTGGCCACGCGTATTCGATGATACCTGTCTACTAGGGCGGCTAGACAATCCCTATGCTCAGGCACATTTGTGTTTATTCAACACCCACAGAGTCCAACTGTGGTTTAGACTGCAACTATACTGAGCGAACCTTAGTTAGAGTTTCTGGGAAAGAGCGTGTTATCTAGCGTGATTTAACAAGGCCAGTACTCTCAAGCCCTCGGCCACGATGACTTGTGACTTCGTGCTAGCATAGGTATCGACGGCACCCAAATGTTCCGTCTATTCAATTTCACTCACAAGGCTTGGGTCAAACCGTCGCATGGTTTTCAGGCACTTTCCAAAGGTGCTGCACGCTGGGATCGATCCTGAAGTCCGATAACATCAGGAAGTCTCCTTCCTGACAAATAGAGAGTTCCCATTCTGACTATGAAACCCGGGATCGAATCTCACCATTATTAATAGTAGCCATTAGTGCAATACTAATCACAGTAATACTGTAATGGTAATATCAGCTGTTTCCTTATAAGGAGACATTCGACATTCATTAGCCGAGCCGCGATTTCTCAAGCCCACTGTTATTGCTCTTTCCAATATTGATGGAGATTTCCTTCCTAACCTTTTGTTTAATGTAGTGTGGAACATCAATATCTTAATTATGTCATTATATTCTCTTCGATGCGCTATCCATTCTAGTTGTTGCTACTGTTGAAAATTCTCAAGTGATGTGGCTTCTATCATTTAGTACAGCTCTTTGTTTATGATTCTGTAGCGCCAGTTCACAAAGATAGGATTCATTCGGTCGAAGCTATTTTAGCCATTGATCTGAGAAAGCGGTTGTATACAGCGGACAGTAAAAAATATTTCTAAACAAGTTTGGCGCCATTCATCTGGATCTGACGAGGCTATTTAAGAACATGACTTGAATTTTTAGCTTAATGATTTAGTTTTGTAGCAATCTGCGGTTTTGCGTGAAACTACCCTTCGCTCAACTTATTCTATTTTCATTTTCTTTTGGAATAGTATCGTCCTGGGTAAGTCGTTAAACTAAATCCGCGTTCTGGGTTAGACGTTAAACTACGTCCAGCAGCAAGGCCTCTGATCAGGAAGTTTTGAGGAGCATGGAACCACCTCTTAATTGCTGGTGTTCCCAGGTTCACCCTGACCCGGGGTTGTAGCACCTGTTAGGGTCCCAGCTATGGGTAAATAGTTACCTATTACCAGCAATAATTTTTTGGAAAAAAATATTACCAGCAATAC